AAGTCTAACTATACGACACCGGCCAAGAGGGTGATGAATTGTCAGATTACTCCCGGAATGCACAGCAAACAGCTCGGGTTGACTGAGACCATGCGAGTAGAGAAATATTTTGAGAGGCCATATGTCAAGGTAAAAATTCAACCCGGTCCAGTGTGCGAGGCTTTGGTGGACAGCGGTGCTGAGGTATGTGGGATTTCACAGAAGTTATGCCAGGAGTTGAATCTACCCAGTTTGGGAACTGAAAGGATCAAGGGATGGAATGGACAGGTGGCTGAGGTGGATGCCACATGGGTAACGTTGACTCAGGGAGACAAGGCTGCTACCCCTGGCGTCCGGGTGTGGTGTGCCGTGGTGCCAAATGCTAGTGAACCACTAATTATTAAGTGGTAGAACAGTTAAAGTTGGTAACGCCTTATGTAGTACCTGCTGCAGGGGTGCTGTCTGCCAGTGGTTCATTGGTCAATTTAGGGACCTTTTACAATGTTGACGCCCCCCATGGGCAGTGTCACGAGAGATACAATAAAATTCAGAACCGTGACGTTGATGACGAGAAAGATGATGAAGCTTGTGAATTTAATAATTGTAAATTAGATGGCAGTGTAATAATAAATAAAATTCAGAACCGTGACGTTGATGACGAGAAAGATGATGAAGCTTGTGAATTTAATAATTGTAAATTAGATGGCAGTGTAATTACAGATAAAATTCAGAACCGTGACGTTGATGACGAGGAAGATGATGAAGTTTGTGAATTTAATAATTGTAAAATAGATGACAGTGTAGTTGTGGATGGAGTTCCTAATCGAGATGTTGATGAGGAGAAAGACGATGAAGGTAGTGAAAAGAGTTGCAAGGTTATGATCAAGGATACAGGTAGAGCTGATATTAGTCAGGAGAAGAAGGATTCCGCAGTGAATAAAATTAATAAATATAAATTTGAACTTGGTGAAGTTGGTAGTTCCGGTATTGGGCTTGTGGACAGATCAAATATTGTCGGTTGGGATGTAAACTATGTTGTGAGAGTGGCTGAAATGACAATCGACCGGGGTGGATGAAACTAATAAGTTTTGACAAAATCAAGGGAAGG